GGGTTCATTGATCATCCACTTGGAATCCTAAGGTCCTAGGTGTACTGTAGGTTTTCTAAAGTGAAGGGCCGGGAAATGACCCCAAGGGGGGATGTGTTGATCTTGAGCTCAACGGCAACCACTTGGATGATCTCCCCTGGAATGTACACACAGAAATGTATGTACATATAGAAATAGGATGAAGTAGGGCAAATCGTAAAGATTCAAGAGGCAAAACCTACACTCATACTTTTGTCCATAATGTTGCAGGAACCTTGGAAAAGGGCCCCTTTTGTTCCCAACAGGGGGGAGGCCTCCTGTCTACAGGAGAGCGAGGAAGAGCTAGAGGCCAAGCGGGCCTCTCGGTTGACCAAGACCAGGTCGTGAAGGCAGTTTACCGTGGTTTCCTTGCTGAACATGAAGGTTTGCGGTTGGGTTTCTGTTTCGTCCATGCATGAACTGGGATGATAGGAACACCATGACCTGCAGTGTCAAGCTAATTTGGATCAAAAAATATAGCAGTCGTGGCCAATGTGACTGGCCAGACAAAATGTCGGAGTTTGGCACCATTGCCAGAGGGATCCTTTTGATTGACTCTTTCACCCTGAAAGCATGCCTCTAGGCAAATCACTGAAGATTTTGAACACATGTGTGCGATTCTTAAAGATTTCGCGCTCCAATCCCAAGATGTCATGGCAGTATACTACAGTGGTGCAGTCTTGCAAGAGTGCTCCTAGAGACACACACACACACATTGCATGGCCTTACCCACCCCTCAACAGAGGTGGGTGACCCAGATGCACGACGAACACAGTACCGAACACCGAATTTCATGGATGCAGCATCAGCCGGTCGACATAGACACAGAGACACGGATCGGATCGGCTCGGATCCGGAGTTGGGCGGATGTTGGGACACGGCGTGGCGTGGTAGGAATGGGCCTTTTTGAGAGGCCGTATATATACAGCATGCCCTGATAGGTGAGTTGTTGTTCGTTCGTTCGGCGACTTTTGGGGTGGGGGGTAAGACATGCTTCCTGGCGAACATGGCACTTTCAATATCATGGCATGTTTGGAGGGCTAGACTCCTTGCAAGAGTACATAGAGGGGTTCTGTATGGTTGAGTTCTGTTTTGATATGTTCTGTTGTGCCATGTTCGAGAACAGAGACATATCATAAGGGATTCTTCTGTCCATATCCTGTGCAGGTCATGCACCAGACAAAGAATACATAAGAATACCCGCGGCTGCGTCTGGAAGACTTGGGGCTGAGGACGTCTCGATTCAAGAAAAAGACTCCACAAGCTGAGATCGGTAGATACATCGGACCAACAACGAGCTAGGAGAAAAAAAACACCTCAGAAGAGCAACATATTTATCCGACCAATCCCGGCGAACCAATCCCCCAGTTAGACGAATCGGGGCCTGCGACCGGAGTTTGTTAAGAGTTGTGGGAGTGTCGAGACTAAGGACCCATTGTGCAAGTCGTTGTGCATGTGTTCTTTGGAGTCCCTAGGCCAAGAGCCGCGAAGCTGTCTCCGACATGTGGTACAAATCGCAGGAGCCCGGGGGTGGTCAAGGCTTTTCCGCTGTGAAACAATGGGAAACACATTGGAACATATTACGCCCAAACCCAAATGAAACCTGAAAATCACTGGTTTGGGGAGCTTCCGCTGGTCTTCCTGACAGGTCCGAAGGTCGGCGGTCCGCGTTGGGTCATCGTTTTGCTCGGCGCCTTAATCCCAGCAACGATGGTAACGTGATGTTGCGTGGCGAAAGCAGCTGGGAGTCGTGGTGTTTTGGGCACGGAAAGGAGATGAAGATGAACCTCGTCTCTTTTGGACGGCATTTCGCTCGCTCGTAGGTCGTGTGACTTGCAAAAGATCAAGCTTGATACTGTCGTCGTTGGATCTCACATGGTGAGCCCGCAAGTTGGTCTCTATTTTGCAAGACAGCGAGGATGGGAAGGACAACGACGACAAACCGTGGCAACTGCCAAAGGCGGCGGAGGTGGGGGAATGTGATGCATCGCGGTGGGGATGAACGACTGGGGTCTAGTTGGCATGGCGGCCAGACACGTACCCTTTTGGTACTCTTCAGGATCCTTCATGTCTCGGATGGTTTGCTAGCCCAAATGAGCTGTAAGTCTCCGGTCATTTCGACCTCCTTTCCATCCGGAGACCGGTGGAGACCGGTCCATGAATTTCAGCTCCGACGCGCGACCTGGCACTTAGCTCGCACCGACCGGCTGTAGCAAGCTTGATAACTTGGTATACCGAATGCCCCACTTAGTATGAGTATATACTGATATGTTATGTAGAACTGCATTGATGTTTTTTGGTGAGTGGTGCATGATGCAACATATTTTTGCACTGTCTTGTTTGCACTACCTGCACTCCTTTGCATGTGGAAAGACCTTCAGGTGCACAGGACACTAGCGTTCTTGTGAGACATCAGGTGTGGAGCAGCGTTTTTGGGCAAGACTGAGGGAGTCAGGCTGCATCTCTGGTTCAGCAGCACAATGAATACTTGCTGGGTTGAATCAAGTGATCAAATTACTATAACTATAAACTATTCTCACTCTTTCGAGCATCTTTCTTTTTTCGTGCTTTTCGTAGTCGTTCGGTAAACTTGTATCAAGTTTTTGTTTTCTGAGTACTATACATCCCTCCAACCATCTTCAACCTTCAGCCACCTTCAGCCCCCGTCTTTGGAGGGACTCCCTATTCTAATGCACACATATCATGAAATGTATCATGAATTGAATGAACGATCCAAACACAGAGCCCTGCATCTCAAGGATTCTCAAGGCGTACTCCCAGCGCTTGGGTCATTAAGCAGTTTTTATCCGGACGGTTGGCCATGAAGCCTGATAACAACAATAAGATCATAACAAAATCATACATATAGTATATATCAAGTGTTCAATCCCTTTCTCAGGATTTGTATGTCTCAGGTTGTAAGTTCAAGTCTTGGTCAACAAAAACGCCTTGCAGAACACTTCATTTGACTGTTACCTTTGGGACCGGACTAGATCGGACCCGACGTCCGCGTCGCGAGCGTTGCCGCTCAGTCTTTCCTGGCCCGGCTGGATGACCGTTTGGATGAGATCGAGTCATTAGCTCCGGACTGGCGGGGGGAAAAGGGAGGAGGAACATTTGGGCAAAACTGTTTCAGTGGAACGAGATCTGGAGTCCGGAAGTCCACAAATAGAAGATTGATGCACCCTTCATGTTGAAAGGATCTGACGAAACATCTTGCAGTTCAAACCCCCTTCACCTCTGAAGGTCCTCTGAAGAAGGTCTCGGAACCTTCGGCACTGGTGCAGCGACCCCACGCCGGGGTGGATCGGGGAGACTCCCCAGGTATTACCAGAGTAAAAGAGTCGACATGGTACTTGGATGTACCTGGCAGAAGATATAGGCTTACCCTAGAGCTCCAGTCGTCCAAATCCACTCGGGCCCCCAGTCCCACCGAACCCAAACGAAGGTACGACATGGTACGACTGGAGCCCCAGGCTTATGCTGTTTTTTTCTTAAGGTGATTGTTCATTTCCCTATGGTTAAATTCGTTCAAATCCCTTCTGGTGAGTATGTGTGTTTTTTTTCTAGTTTCCTTAAGCATAGGAACCCCTTGCTTTGCTCTGACCAGCCGAACCAGCTTATCAGCTTATCATTTTCTTCACCTGCAGGAGTTGGATGCGGTCCAAACGGCTGCGACGAGGCGGGAGTGAGCTGCGAGCGGTCTGCGAGCTGCGGAGGTCGCCCAGTGAGAGTTTCTGAAGGGTTTGTCATCATATAGACATACCTGGACCTTCATGTCGGGGTGTCCTGTCGATCTCTAGGTAGTGGGGCGAAACCAGCCAGGTGACCCCGGAATGAAGGTGCTGGTAGGAGTTCACCACCTGTTTGGAATGAATCCCTCATCCGAGTCTTCAGGGCCGCCATCCACGGCCAAGCTGGCCTTGCTGAACTGACGAGAACTGACGAGCGTCCGTACCAAACATCGTCCGGCTCTCCCTGCTTTTTTTGGATTCTTTTGAAAGGATTTCCTTTGTCGTAGCAGTCGAGTCGAGTCCGCTTTCTGTGGCTTGCCGACGTGCATGCAGATGCACGTCGACGGATTCCCTGCAGATGCACGTCGACGCTTCGGCGCGTCGCGCAGAAACAACGAAGTCTGGATGTATCTATCTCAATGGAAGAAAGGTGAGGATTTCGCAGGTGGAGTGTGCCAGTATGAGAAGACTGGGTGTGCCAGTGCTATTTCGAGAACGACTATTTGATGGGGCTGCGAAACGAGCCGTCGAGTTTCTGGTTGAGTTTCGCCTGAGCTTGTTGAACAGGAGCTGAGAAATCAAGGTGCAGGGCACGATCCATGGATGCAATCGGGATCGCTTCTTGTCAGCCTGTAGGACATTCCCAGTGCTCTTAAAGGTAGAACAAAAGACGTGCTCCACCAATTCTCAGCTTATAACATCGATAGTCTACCCTCACTGCCAGGTCTTCAGTTTAGGGTTGGGGGAAGTCCAGGTCTCGATGACCGGAGGATCCTGGTCGAATTGGACTTCCCCATGGGTCCACCGAACATTACCGAACCCAAAAAGGCGAGAAGTGCAGACGATTGATGGTGTCGGGCCCAGTCATCCCGAACCTGAGGTGTGGTTGCAGTGGATCCAGGGGTTGGATCTCCTGCCAACTTCGCTTGTTCTCCCCGGGGTGGCATGAAGCACCCCCCTCAACGCCAGGCTCGAGGAGCTTCGGAAAGGCGCCGTTCCGGCGGATTCCGCCGCCGCCGCTTCCGCCCGGGGTGGCTCGGACGACGTAACCAGTGGAGACCGTTCCGTCGAAAGTGTTCCGCAACCTCTCTCTCTGTGAATTGGTTCTTCAATGAGCAACCAGAGCCACGATGTCCGAAATCGTGCTCCCCTCCTTGTAGGGGCCGAAAGCCGTTTGTGGCGCTGTAAAATGGTAGATGATGATAGATTTTAAGAACTTAGTACATACTTACTACATGTTCTGGTTATCAGGTTTTGAAACAGGTCGAATGGGTAGACCACCAGTAGACGTCGGACGGCTTCGATGGGCTCGACTGCTGTTGGCTGGCTCAAGCCAGCTGGTCTCGCTAAGTCCGGGCCAGGAGCACACCACCCCAGGCGCCACATGTTGGGACAGCTCTTGGAGAAAGAGCGGCGAACAGAGGGTTCTAGGATGTTCATGGTTGTTCTATGCCGAAAAACACTGGTGAGCAGACTCTTGTGTTCGATTCTAAAGCCTTTGTTCTTCGACATATCGTCGTGATGTCACATGTAATCGAGCCAAAGAATTCACTCCATGGACAGCAATACCTGCATGGTGCTCTTCAACTTATTCAACCATAATTCTTGTGGTCAGTCAGTGGCAGTGGTTTTTGAGGCTGATGTTGGGACTGAATCTCTCGCCTCAAGCATCAGTGAATCACGCCATTTGCCTCGAGCAGTGCAGCAGATTGCCAAGATCCTCCCAACAGATTGTCACCAGATCGTCTCTTTCGAGGAAGTAGCATCATATTCCCAATAGGTGAATACAGTCAATACAGTCAATATTTTCAACTGTTCTACCTCTCTATCTTGTGACTTCTTTCTGTCGGAGTTTGACTCGTCCATCACTTGGATCGGCAGGCGGCCCTTCTCCTCCGCCGAGAAAGCAAACACTGCACAGCACCATCCAGTGGTAGCCGCATCCGGCGGCTTCCGCCGCATCCGGCGGCTTTCGCGCCACGACAGATGCCCTCACCCGGCCCGGTGAGCCCAACGCACGAGGGACTATTTTGGGATCTGCACCGGAAGCTGGGGGAGTGCTATCAAGCTGATGTGCAGACAGCGCGCTTGGTGCCTGGACGAACAGAAGCGATGAGGGAAGGGAACCGAGACGAACCGAAGAACAGCATACGGGGTCGGATCCACATGTCGGTGTCCAAGATCCAGTGCAGCATAATGTATAGTAATGTAGACTCTTAGATGATAGTTCAACCCCCCATACGAAGAGGCTACACAATCGAAATGTGGGGGTTATAAACCAAGAGTCTACATTCGTGATGTTGTCAACTATATCATTGTAGCAATGTTCGATGTGAATGCAGGGTGAGCGGTCAAACGCAAACTTGAATTATTAGGGCAAGTGCTAGGCAATTACAAAAGGGGCACTAAGTTACTTCAGGGCAACGAGAAGAACAACAGCAGGCTGAGGACATGGTGCATGAAATAGCATGAATATGCATGAATGTCCATGATATACTGCACATACTAACGCGGTCTCTCTTTTTTCTACACAAGACAAGTACGCGCCAGTTTGCATCAACCTGGTTCTTCCGTCCGCGACCGAACTTGATCCCCGCGCTTGATGTCACTTAGACCGAAAGGTCACTGAGGGACTCCAAAGAGGTACTGAAGAAGCTGGCCCGGATCTGGGACCGGATGACGGGCTTTGGTCCTTGAGGTGCCAGGGACGGCCTCCAAGAACAGCCTGGTGAAAAAAAAAATCCGCAGGCGATGACCTGAGGTCATGCTGCGGAGTTCGAGAGAACGAAAGAGATCACTTCATGCTGCAGTTCAGTTTCAACGGCGTATGACATTGTAACAATCCACCCGGCGGAGACGTCTGGGGCGCGGGAGACCTGTGACAGCGCGGGGGCCCTCGAAACTCTGAATTGGTCAGAAGAAGGTCCGTTCGGGACCCGATTTGGTGGAGGCCTACCACCCAGCCCTCCAGCCCTCCATGCCACCGTACCAACCTGGTTTGGTATGACTTGGGCCACCTTACCGACCGTGGCGCCGTCTCCAAATCGTCTCCCCTCACCTGACCGACGGCGGAGCGACTCAGGCGGGGCGCATCACCTCCAGCGAGCCCTTGGGGGAGGTGATGAACCTTCCTTCGATGTCCAGGCAGTGTCTTGGAGCTTGGAGAAGGGAAGTGGGAAGGGACCTGTGATGTTTTTGCCCTGAATTGAATCATCAAATAGTATGGTATAATCATAATTTTGTAATGATGTATACATATACCAGTCGTACCAGTACCCCACTGCCAGGTCTTTAGTCGAGAGTTGGGTGTTGGGCCCCTGATGAGGGCTGGGTCCTGCTGACCTGTCGGAGGGTCCGGCGGTTTTGGCACGTTCAGAGCCATGACTCGCCGCAGTTTGACTCCCAACTCAGACTCTGTAGACTCTGCCTCAGCTCAGGATGAGCAGCCTGTCGGCCACTGGGCAAGCAGAAGGGTGATGGGCAAGCGAGTGATGTGAAAAAGCGTGGGTCGGCCTTCGCCCCTTGCACCGATGAGAGTCCCAAAAAGCTGATTGTGGAACGCTTAGCTTGAATTGGGAGAACGGCACAGCGACGAATTCATTCGAGATGGACAGTGAGAGATCGACTTCATTTGGGCAGCGAATTGATGAATGGTAAAAAGGAATTAGGACATTTGCATCCTGTGGGGTCCCGGTGGCACAGGGTGGATGCAGTATGAGGAGGCTCACAATGAACAGAACCTCAGGTAGAGTCAGTGTTTCACCAAATTGTCGTGCAATGCCGTGATCGCATGGTCCTGCCTCTAGAATCACAGCTAGACCGTTTCCTCAACTCCACGGGCTTACAGCATCCCCTTGTGGATCCAGTCACCAGTGGTTCCAAAGAGCAAAACATACCAAACCTTAGGCTAAGTCTTACACTAGTGGTTTCACATTGACGAGTGGATCCAGTAGCTGGTCACCAGTGGATCCTTAAAAATGCCTGGTTTCGGATGAAGTGGAATATAGTGGCTGCCTGGCATCCTTTGCGGATCCACAAGGCTGGTAGATCTTCCCCGCTCGAATAGGCTCGCTCTGAGAACCAGCTGGCGGTGCGCTCGCGGGGCTCAAGGGGCTCGGAGGCGAGTGAACAAGGACGGGAAGGGACCGGGAGGACCGGAGGACCGGAGAAAGGGCTGCAAGTCCAGTCTGACCCAGGTCCAGTCTCCTGGTCTTCGAACTTCTGGCTCCTGGAATGGTTTTTGATGGTTTTTGTATGACCTCTAGTATTTCATGAGGTTGAACTGACCTGTAGGGGCTGCAAGTCCAGTCTCCCGTCTCGCTGTTTTGACCTCCGGTGTCAACGGTTGAAGAGTCATTTGGTTGTTCATGTTCGGTGGGAAAAACCAGGGTGTGTTGACCCACTGCCAAATCATCTGCCTGTTGCCTGAACAAACAACTTCAGCCTCTTGACTGCTGTTTTATTTGTCCATTTGCGAGAACTGGGCTGACAAGATGTTGAGTGCTGGTCCTATTTGCGGGAAGGGGTCCGATGAAGAAAGCTTCCAGAAACGGGCATCTCTGAATACATACAGTTGCTGCATCACGTGCTTTCAGCCAGACGATGCAGTTCCACGATATGTGCCTCGATATTCCTGCTTTGACCGCAAGGTCGCTGCTCACTTGCCCGGACTGCCCTTGATCCAACCCCATCATGGTCGGACCAATCCCAATCATTCACGCTCCGGGTCGGGACTTGTTCCGGCTGGGACGTCTGCTTCTGGCAGCGTAGCTGGGTGGGAGATGGGTTGAATTGGGTGGAGAAAACTGCGGTCTTGGCCAGTGGATTTGCCACACCCAAACTGCGGATCTTCGGCACCACTGCGGACCCGCTCCGCGGACGGCACCCTCCATGCTGTCAGACGGTGTCGCAAGAAGTCTGTGAATCACCTCAGCCTTGAGTTATCACGTTCGGATTCCGAGTCCAAAACCAACATCGGATTTCATTCACCTCCTATAAGGAGTCGGTGCGGAGTCCGGGCCACCCACAAGACGTCCATGTTGAGAGAAATGGGACACCCTGTCCTGGAACCTCCATGGATTGCACCCTGTCCTCCGCTGAAACTGGTGAGAAAACCCATGTCCAGCCCTCCCCAACTCCACAGCGCCCCCCACAGCCCTCCCCGTCCTCCAGGAGTGGCACCGCTCCGGCCAGAGTTACCTGCGGTCGCGCCGCCGAGGGCCCTACCCAACCGACTGAGTTTGAGGAGAGCGAAGATGGCTCGCGAGCGCGTGGGAGCCGCGAGCGCAGGAGAGTGCAGGGAATCACCGTCCAAACGACTCGAATGAAAGGTCTGGGCGAATGAATGTTGTGCAGATGTGTGCTGTTCCCAAACGCTCCATGTATGGAATATATGCCCACATTGACCCCCCAAACCACCCCAGCTGATTGGCATATATACCATACATGGAGTGTATGGGGTTTCTTTCTTTTTGATTTGAGAACCTGGAACACGAGGTTCCCGAAACACGGCGGAACTCCATCCCGAAAGCATCCCGGTGGCACCCCCCCAGGTATCCAAAAGGGTCCGTCTGAATCTGATTCCATCTGAGGAACTACACACTCTGACACTTGTATTCAGTGAACTCAGTTACCAGGTTGGGAAGGAAGGTGAGGGAAACGTAAGGTGAAAAAGTCAGCGCAACTGAAATGTTTAACAATCTGTTCACTCATCTGCAGAAGCGCGGCTGAACGTCGGCGGCTGAAGGCAGCGGTGGGAAACCGGTTTGGGGGTGGTAGCATGAAGGACCATGAAAACAAAA